TCCAGTTTTGATGTTGAACTCGGTTTTAATGGTTAACTGAGCCCGGGAATCAGCGTGAGCAGCAAGAGGAAGGTCCTAACAATAATAATAATAATAATAAAAAAGGAGAATAATATGAATAAACCTAATTCTTCCAGTTTGTGCTTCATTCCCCATTCCCCGGATGTGGTTCCACTCTCATTTCCCCACTGGTTGGCTCTCCCAGATAGGGATGGGACAAATTTGGAGGTGGGACGGGGATGGGGACCGGATGGGAATGGTAAGGGGATAAACGTCTTTGACAATAAAATAAAAAATTTTAAAAATGAACTTTTTTACTGCATTAGATAAAAACTGTCCACTGAATCCCAATTTATTACATATTTTAACGTTTTGAGAGGACTCTTAAAAAAATAATATAGCCAGTGGACCAACATGTTGCTGGATTATGTAAAAATTATAATTTTACTGCATTTTGTCATTTAAATAAGCCCATGTTTGGACTTCATTTTATTGTGATTTTGAGAGAACTTATTTTGAAATAGTGATTTTTTGGAAAATATGTAATAGAAAAATAATGAAAAATTTTGAATTTATGTATAATATTATTTTAAGAAAGAATGTATGATTAAAAATAACTTAAGAGGTTTTTATTTTTTTTTTTTTTTTTTTTTTTTTTTTTTTTTTTTTTCCCGGGGGGGGGGGGGGGGGTTGTAAAAACCCAGCATCACAAAAAAGTGTTCTCTTTGAGTGACTTTTCACGAGTCTAAAAGCTGTTTTTTTATTGTTATTTCCAATAATCACAAGCATGATTGATGTACTACAAGTCCAGGCCAACCGCATAACAAGAGAATTTAGCTTTTTAGCGTCAACTCATTTTCTCATAACATTTGCCAGCCTGAATATCTTCTTTTAAAATTTAAATACACCCTGAAAGCCTGGCATTATGTATATAACCAATAGATAAAACTGCATCTATTATCTCATGCATATTGCCAAGTAGTTATTATTTCTTTTGTTGAAACTGTCTGTCTATGGTGAAAGAAATGAGAAATTTTGGTTTATGTCTCTCATAGTACATATTTGTTCCATTTATCTACTCAATCTTAGCCACATGAAAAGAAATTTTAGCCCTTGTTTGAGCCCCATTCTTTTTGAAAAATTCATTTTTCAACGGTGTTTTGACATCATTTTAACCACACATTTTTCAATAAAATAATATTACATGCAAATTCAAAACTTTTCATTATTTTTTAACCACACATTTTCCATTAATACACTATTCAAAAATTCATTCTTCTAAAAAAAATGGAGCTCAAACAAGGGCTTAATTATGAGATATTAGAGATCTTTTATTTAAATTTATTGATTTAGGTGACTAGCTAGGAGCCCTCGATTTGATACAAATTTGAGTTTGGAGGAGAGAAAGAAGGACGCCTTGACCTGTGACGCATTCTTAAATTAGTTTGAACATAATACCTTACCTAATTATTAATTTTAGGGAGCACCTTGCTATCATGAAACGCCAGCTATTACCATAGTAGCTGCATGAATCGAAGCGGATATTGGAGTGGGACCCTCCATATCCTTCTTACTCTTTCTCGAGTCAATCGTAGAGCTAGAATTGGAAAGAGGGGGATTAGACTTCGGGTAGGTAGTAGCAGACGCTTATTGCGCAGAAAAAGGGTAACTAAATGTGCACGCGTAGCGTGCATTTGTTGATGGATTTGAAAAACTACCTACAAATGCGTGCCAACGTGCTCCTGTAAGGCTATCTGTACATCCCCTTGTACAGATAGCAAAATTCTAACTAAATTATATACATGTAACTAGACCAAAAGCTTGAACTTGATAAAGAAATGTATGTACCCTTCTCATATATTCCTCAAAAATGAAAAACGATTTAATTACCTCATGCCATGACAAATATTTATAAAGAACCAAATAGATCAAGAAGATTCAATGTAGCAGAAAAAAGTCTTAATTGATTTAGTTTGATAGCATTAACTGATGGAATGGATATTGAACAAGAGATCCAAGTTACCAACTTGTTCAAATCCATCAAAACTTTTACAAGATTGCCACACAAATTTACTATGCTTTTTTTTTTTAATTAAATTATTACAAAATAATCTCACTCATTCTCACACATTCGTTCTTCTAATTCTAATTAATCCTAGTACATTTAGCTAAATTTAAAAAAAAAAAAGACACTCTGATTTTTGTAGAAATCGAATCAACCGGGGACAAGACCAGAAGATAAAGCCATTAGCAGGATTGCAGCGTCCTTCTCATCTTGTGGAAATACTTGGTTAAAGGCCGAATTCTTGCTCAAATTTATCAAGAAATCCTCAAAGCCGAGTTTCTTCTTATCATTGGATGGTCCAGCAGTGATTTTACAATGCTTTTTCAAATGTGCTGCGTGTCTATTTTTGCTAATCTTGTCTTTGTGGTGCACCTTGATCTTCTTTGGCGATGGTTCAGTCGTAATGGCCATCCCATTAGCATCATCAGCTGATGCTGCAGCCATGGCTCGCCTCGCCTTTCTTTGCCTAATCCCACAGGCGTTGCAAAGAGACTACAAAAAGATCGAAAAGAAAAATGGGCAAATTAGAGATTGAAATTTAGCATATTAATGATTTATATTTAAGATACATTTGCTTTAATTGATGCTTCAATACTCTTAGAATGATACTGAATAGCTTATTTTTCTTACTTAATATTGTCCAATGGAAACAATACATGCCATCTAATATAACATCTCAAACATGGAATTAGAAATTTGGGAAAATGTGTACCTTAGGACCTTTGGGACCACTTCTCCAAAGGGGGGTCTTGGTTGTGTTACAATCAGCACAAACCCTAATTGGGTTATTATTGTTTGAAGAACTGTTTCTGCTTAAATCAGTTTCCAAAGAAGAGGATGTCTGCTTCTGACGATTTTCTAACTTTTTTGTTTCATTATTAGTTATTTTTAGACTAACACGATCCGAATTCTGCATCTTGTGCATCAATCTCATCTTCGAAGACATCCACTTAACAGGACTATTATTATTCTCCAGTACACTTTCAGATGGATTTTCTTTCTTCCAAAGAGTTAATTTATGACCACTATCATAGGCGTAATTAACATCCTGCGTTTAAAATATCAAAAGAATTTGTGGGGATCATTAGTACAATAAGAATAGATAATTGGGAATATTATAATCATTAGAATTCCATGATCGATATTAACAAAAACGATCAAAGGGATCATCAGTATAATTTGGTATTTAATAAAAACCATGAGCAAACATAAAACTTTATACCTTTTGATGCTGCTGAGGCCGGTAGAATTCATGGCGATAAAATTTCGCTTGATCTAGAGTTGGGTTGAAGAAATAATGGCATGAGAGTGAAGACGATGAAGCAATTTGATGGTTTGCACCAGATAGCAAGGGGTGTTGATCATCGTGTTCTTCATTTCTCTCGAGAACGATAGGTGACGAATTAAGGATCATTGGAGTCATTTAGATGGAATTTTCTTCACGAGCTTGGGGCGTAGAAATGAAAAGTTTTCTTGATTATATTATCCAGTGAAAGAATTATAAATTTGAGATAGAGGGCTATAGAGGGAAGTAAACAGAAGCTGGTATTGTTGTGTAAAAGGGCCTAATGAGCAGCGATCGAAAGGTGTTTTAAAAGGGAATAGGGAGGGAGAGGGCGAGAGGGGCCTAGACATTCACATGACTTCATGACAGCCAAACAAACAACCATAAGAGACAAATCAAAAGGAAGGAGTAGAATGCTACCACACGACAGAACCCTATCTCTAAAAGTTTCCATCTTTAACAAATCTGAGTGTCTTGTTTGGCAACGTTAACTCACCAATACTAAATTTTAAGGAAGAGAAGAAAAAGGATAAAATAACTTATTTTGTATTTTCCCATCTAGTCAAATCGTTATGGCAAACCAAACATGCCATATTATATATTATACTGTTGATTAGAGAAGAAAATTAATAGCCACCACATATTGGAACATCTTTAACTAACCTCCTATACTGATACTATTTCTTTGATTTTGGCTTAACTTAATAATTAATATATATAATCCAATCCCATTTCGACCAGCTGCCAAGGAAAATGGCCCGATTAGAGAAAATCCTACCACATTCTTGATCCTCTAATATATCATATATTAATTTTTAATGAGTACAAGCTAATTGAGCTTTTCTGTGTGTCAACATACTCATTTTTGACCATTTATTCAACGATAAAATATTCGACAAATAAATCAAAAAATTTCCATACTCTTAACTACATATTATTCAAAAATTTACTATTCAAAACAATATTTTTGCCAAATAATTTCCATTAAACAAAGGCTTAGCCCTTGTTTGATTCCCATTGTTTTAAAACTTTTTTTTCTATAAGATCAATTTTAATCATACATTTATAAAATAAAATATTCTGCACGTAAACTCGAGATTTTTTCTTATTTTTCACTACACATTCTCCCAAAAAATACCATTCAAAACTCTTTAAAATGGTAATATAGCCACGAAACGGGCTTAGTATTGCCAAAAAGCATCATGAATGCTTTTGCAGGTAGGACACCAACCTCTTTTCTTCGCCTTCCGACACCCATCTTCAGAATTTTCTTTGACTTTCTTTTTTGGGTTTCTCATTTTAATTCCCAGTTTGACAATTCATTTTACGGAACTTTTTTTTTCTTAAATTTGTCTTTAACCAAAATTCTTACAATAAAATTTTATACACGTAAATTTAAAATTTTTTCCTACTTTTCTGTAATACCTTAATTTAGTAAAAAACAAAACAAAAGAAAAAAAGGAAGAAAAGTCAAACTTTAGCAAAAAAAAGAAGGTATAACATTGTATCAATCCAATTCCACCCACAATCAATTCAAAAACACACACAACACACATAACACACACAAATGAAACAAAACAGAGAAGAAACGAGAAGGAGAAAAAGAGAGGGAAAAGAAAGGAAAAAGAAGAAAAAAAAAAAAAAAAAGAGGAAGAAAAAAATAGGAAAGTTCACCTATGCTGTTAGAAAATAAGTGATCTATATTATTAGATTTGAATTCCTCAATTTTGAAAGGTAAGTAAAAAGTTACTTATTATCAAGTTATGTTGATTTTATAATTGTTAGATTATTAGACTAAATTCAATTTTATTGAAGGGGTTAAGTATAATAAACTATGAAATTGAGTAAGATGAAAGAAAAACTAGTTTTAGTGACTAAAGAGACTATAGAATCGCCCAAATGTGAAATAATTAAGTTTGGGTATCGCTTATTTAATTATTGAAATTATTTAAACTAATTAATTGTTTATTTAAAAATTATATCGTATTTCAGGCGACGATACTGACGTCAGAACAGCTTACCAACCGGGTTGATTTTGCGAACATAGTACTGTGAGTGAAAAAATATAAATATTTTTAAAATATTTATAAATTAAGTATATTATCAAAGTATGTGCAATTATGTGTTCGAATTATATGGATATTTTTAAAATATTTATAAATTAAGTATATTATCAAAGTATGTACAATTATGTGTTCGAATTATATGGTTATTATGGAAATCCCTTTTATTATGATACATGTGGAATATCAAATATTATTTATGGTATATTTGTGACTTGCTATGTAAGACATGTAATATTGAGATTTGTTTGGTATGTGAGACATGCAATATTGAGATCGGTCAGAAAAGTACTCATGATTATATACTTCTTCTAGTTCACAGAGGGGTTTTGGCCGTGTTCTATCCTACATGGAGGGTCTTGACCTGACATTGATCTTGATCGTGTACATATAGTTCACAGAGGGGTCTTGGGCGTGTTCTAGAATTGATTATAAGAGGTTTTTGAGATCTACTTTCGTTCACAGAGGGGGCCAAAGGCCCGTGGCGAAAGTTCTTAGCCCGAGGGGCAGATTACAGATTTCAGTTAGAGGGTACATTTGATTTCTAGTACATTTGATGTGATGAAATTATAGCATGATTACCAGCTTATGTTTATATCATTACTTGAGATGATATTTTACCACGTTATGTGAATGTCTCACGTTTTGGCTATAATTATATGATGTTATCTTGCGAGTTATCAATGATATGAACTCGATTTTCGATAGAAATGTAAAATTAAAAAAGTATAATTATTTTCGAATTTTTCCACTCACTGAGCTATCAACTCATATTTTTTACGATTTTTCCTACAGATAGCAATTGATTCTTTTTAGCTGGAAGAGTCTAATGATTTCGGAATAAGAGCCATGTGACATGTTGAGTGTTATACCTCATTTTGATGAAGCACGAAGAAAATATTTTGAGCCCATCACATTATATTTTACATAAACATTTGATTTTGTTGCATTTTTGAAATAACTCATAGTCAGCCTTGGTGATAGATTTGACATCTAGTCAGTATCTTTCATAAGCGCACGTCACGTTTCGGGTCCACTATAGTGATTCGGGACAGGTCGTGTCAAAGTGGTATTAGAGCATGATTTTGAAAATTTTTATGGTTCATGTATGTTCAGTGGATATGATCACATGTCGTGATGGCAGAAATTACAGGCTCTCTAACTCAAATACATAGAACTAAAAATGATAGAAAGATATTTTTAACAGATCCAAGAAAGACTACCATGTAAGTATGGTAGTTGCAATGATATTATGGTTGAAAATGTTATTAATTGTTGGGTTGGAACTATGTGTGTATGTAAACTAGTAAGATTTGAACATATTTTGATGATTTTACTGGGCATTCGAAGTTATAGATTTTACAATCAGCGTGGAATTTTAAATATTTTGGAGCCAAAAGGTCATTAGTGTTATCAAAATTTTGTGGTGATTTGTGGCCACTTATATGGGATGATAATAGAAATCATAATGGTGTATATTTATGCTATATGATAAGAATTTGTGGAAGACAAAATGATGATTTGTTAATTGATAGGTGACAATGTATTATTGTGTATCTTAGGCATTTATGAGTTGTTTGATTATAATGGATGTGAAAAAAATATGGATGAACTTTATTATGATTGTCGATTACGAGATTATTTGTTGCTTAAGAAATATAATTAAATGGATATGTGTATTTAGGTATGTTTAGGTGAATATAGAAATAAAAAGGAGTAGAGAATTGTAGAGTAGGAATTTATTTAGATTAGAAAATTAACATATGAAATCTTGGTGGTATATTGAGGTGTGAAAGGTTCACATGATAAATATGAAGGTTATTATTTTGTGATCTTAAGAAAAACTGATGTAACTAAAAGTTAGAAGGCATATGGTATAGCCATAAGTATGTGATGAGGTTATATAATTACAACATAATATGGTGAGTATGTAAATGAATGTAATGGTTGTCCTACAGCAAAATAATGTGATGATTGATTTGGTTATTAAATTAATTAATTTCGTTAAGGACATTCGTTAGATTATTGTGCTATATTCCATACAATTTGGAAGCATTGAGTTAAATTTTGAAATTAAGATGAATTTAATGAATTTTTAGTGATGTAATTTTGGGGTGATTTTCAATTGTACTTTTAGATTTCACGTATCAATATTTCATTTTTATTGAGATATATTTGTTATGGAATATATGGATGATATGTCGAATAGTTTGAAGTTTGGGGCAATCATTGAACGGAAATTTTATTCAATTGTGGGACGGTATCTTTGGGTTATAATCTTAGTTAAAGGTCTTTATGCGATATACAAGAAGGATTATACAGTGATGATAGATCAATGACCCATTTATGGAATAAGAGTGTAGATTTCCATGATTAAATGTTATTATTTTCTCTTCATAGAAAGAAAGAACAAAATTTATGTGGGTATAGAAATGTCAAAAGTTTTGCTATTAGGAAATTCTGATGAAATATTTTCTCTTATATCTAAAGATGATAAGTGATTGATTCACGATAATGATTTATGTTAAGGTTTAGAAAGTATTCTGAAATAAACTTATAAATTATGGATGATACTGTAGATTGTTGAAGAGTCATGATTAAAACATGATTTGAAGTTGGTTATATTAGGATTTTCTCATCACATTGCGAGAAATATCAATAGTTATCAATCATCAGACTTTAAGGTATATTTTATTCAAAATGGTGGAAATGAAAATTGTGTATATATTATCATTTGGTGATATAGAATTAAAGCAAAAGAACACCATATTGAACTATCTCAATTGTTTTGTGAGGGATAACTTGAATTTTAGAAAATCATGAACAATTGAATTTTTGGAAATATTGTCAATTTAAAATGGAGGTAGTTATCCCTAAAGTATTTTTTTGGGATTCCAAATACACGGAATGGAGACAAAATAGTATCTAAATCCGTGTGGATAGATTGATAAAGGTTACAAGATTCTTTTTAAATGATATAGTCAGTTCATAGGATAGACTTACAAAATTATATTTAGACAATATTGTTAATTACATGGCGAAATTGGAGTATCTTTTTTTATTTAGTTGTAAGAAGTTATATAATTAAATTTCACTATGCATTTTCTTTTGATAAAATCACAGATATTATGAAGACAAGTTTAAAAGAGAGGCTATCAACTAGTTTGTTAATTAAAGAGGACTTTGATGATTATCTATTCTTCATGGAATTGACCTATATTGGCTCTTAGGAAGTTATTAAAACTATGATGGGAAAGATTAAATTTTGGTACTAAATGTTTGTTAGAGA